TACTGTCACTCTTGTAATAAATCCTGATCCATTTACTATCACACGAGACAGTTCAGTAGATATTCCATTCCCATTCACTGAACACCTGACAGTAGTAGGAGGACCATCAGAGACATTGAAACTGAGACTGAAAACTGGAGGAGTAGCTAATCTACTAGTCGAGAGGAGAGAGAACTGCATAGTAGGATCAGCATCAGGACCATCTGTAAAAGAAGTACATTAATTATAGTCTATATTCATCACATACCATTGTTATTGTATCCAGTATCAGTATATGCTCCAACCACTAGTGTTTGATCCACTCCATTCTCATCAGGAATGATACACTTGTATAAACCTTCATATCCTGATAGTCCATGTCTTCTAGCTAGTGCAATCTGACCATTGAATCTCTTACTGAACAATGGACTAGGAGCTGATGGATCAGTGAAGTCTCCATCAAATAAAGGTACTTCAATTCCATTAGGATGATACCACACTCCAATATTAGTAACATTGTTAGCACTCTGACACCACAAAGCATCATTGATATCTTCAGCATCATTATTCTCATCTTTATCATAAAACTGGCTAGCATATATCATAGAGTAATCAGGTATTATCCTGTCCTCATAAGGTAGATATAGTTGAATGCCTACATCAGGTGAGTAACAAATAAAAATTATTAAGTTTATATTCTTACCATTACTAGGCAGGTTATTAGGTTGTTGTCCTTCAACTCTCAACAGGAGGAAGCCAGCAAGAAGAACCAGTGCCCTCAACATCTTCAGAGAATAGACACAAAAATGAGCAGTCGACAGTAATCAATGTATATAACGTGTGTATTTGTTAATTGCTATCTCACATGTGAAAACATAAGGTGTGTTGACCCCATTAAGAAAGAAGTGCCAGCATATGTTCCTTTACAAAACCAGAACATGCAGTTTGATACTGGTAGTAGTCATTTATTCTAATGACAAAACATGAACTCTCTTGTGACCATTACAGCATTGACTCATCATACACTGATAGTGTGCTTATGGCATAAAGAAATGGATGTATTATAATACAAAAGTATTTCCCAAAAAAGCACTACAGTGGGAAAAGATCTGATGCTAACCAAATTTGTAAAAATCGACATACATGTACATACACTTTATAATGAATGACACATGACACACACAACCAAATGTTAAGTTGATGTACACAATCCTTAATTGACACTAACTACTTGCAAAAACTGTATATGCCTGTTTGTGGAGACATGCAAGGCTAATTTAAATAATTGTTTTTATTGATTTTCTTGCTCTGCTTCTACAGTGTAGTCATTCTGTGGAGGTTCAAGTGATGACAAGTCCAAAGGTGATTCATATATAGAGGAAGCCAGCAAGAAGAAGCAATGTCCTCAACATCTTCACAGAAAACTTTAACCTTTCCTATACATAAGGCTATGATAACATCAGGAAACACGTGTCATGGAAGTTTATGTAACAGTTAATACACACCACCACCTCCTTGTTCCTTCCTTTACAAAACTTGTACATTCAGTTTCATAGTATATAAATAAATGAACACATTAATAATAATATAAAAGTTACTTCCTAAAAGAGCACTACAGTTAGGATCAAGGGCAACTTTGCAAGGGAAAACTCTCCAGAAAAGGATCTGATACTAGCAAAGACTTACTTGTACATTGAAAATAACTGTATTAATAATAGCAGACACTCATGCACACAGAATTTTAATTATTGTAAAATTTGTTGTACTCAATGATGACATAATAAACTGCTGTTCTATTTTTTGCTACTTTAAAGTTTAAATCTATAATAAAGACAAACTTTAATGTTGCATCGTGCACGAAATTATGAAGAAACAATTGGTATTTCATATTCAGAAGGTGGAGTAGTAGTCATAGGCCCAGTTGTATCATACACTGGCTCAACAGTTGATCTGTTAATAATAACTTTAAATAATAATAATAATTGTATTTTATATAACTGACTGTGTTTGTTGTACTGTACTGTATGCTGGACTATCCTTCATTAGTATATCATCAGCAGTACTGTATGTGTGTGTATAGACATAATGTACTAGTCAATAGTGTAACTAACTTTGTTTTAAATTCAGTTGTAGCATAAGCTGGACTGCATTCCATTACAATGTCATTATCTGATTTTCTGTGTAATTTTAAGCTACTACAAATTTTAACATAGTAAGTACATTTACCTTTTTTGATTAATGTTAGTTCTTTTTATGTACAAAGCTAGGGCCAGTATAACAATTATAAATATAGCCAGTACTAATAATACAGTAAGAACTACAATTGGACCAACTATCACTCCAGTATTCCCTCCATTATTCACTAATACAGTAGTTGACACTGTAGTCAATGGAGTAGTCATGGTAGTTGTCTCAGTAGAATAAGAAACTATAAACATAAACTGATTAGTACATGCATCAACAGTGATATATTTACTCATGTTTAATAGCACTATTGAATTACATACATCTATTAGTATATGTACTGTCTTACTTGTTGATGATCCTGTAACACTAATGACTGATGAAGTACTTGATACAATAGTAGGAGTTAGAGTAGCACCTAAATGAATTAGAGCTAGGATTATACTCATACTTAATGACACTGACATTGCTTTTTTAAAACTAACAAATCATCTTACTTGCTGTTGATGACGTTACAACAGTTATAGTAGGAATTACAATAATGCCTATATTAAATACAGTTCATACTACATGTATCTATCTATGCATGATAATAAGTGTAGCAATTAATACCTGGCG